CTAGGAAGCTGAAAATTTAGGATAACGTTCCCCACCTACGTTCGACCCTGCAAATTTAAATTCAGCCTCCCCGTACCTGCGAGTAACCCGTACGGCCTCGTAAAAGTTTAGGCGGGTAAAATTATTATCACGGGAAGCACGGGAGCTAAAAGGCTGAAATTTTGTGGTCATTTTCCCTGCCCATGTTTTACCTAGAAAAATTTAAATTCAGCTTTCCCGTGCCTGCGGTAAATTATTATCTCGGGAACCACGGAGTCTAGGACGCTCAAATTTTAAGGTTTTGACCCCCTGCCCACGAACGACCTTGCAGATTCAAGTTCAGCCTTCCTGCACCCTCGGGTATCACTTACGGCCGCGTGAAAATTTTGGCAGTTAAACTATTATCTCGGGAATCACGGGAGGATATTCACCCTTCAGGGTTTCAGATTCAGCTTCATGCGCCGGTGCGTGAAATTTTTATCTTTTTTTCAACGTTTCAACTATTTTCGCACAGAATAAAGTACAAGGCAGTGAAAATCATTAATAGGCAATCGTTCGATGGGCGGAATTGCATAAGGCGCATGGTCACACTAGCTAGTCTGGTGCGCGTTGCTATTTTTTTGCTTTGTTTTGTAATCAAACCTTTTCTGTAAAAATAATACTGTTCAGTACACGGCGTTAATGGCGGAACTGGGTGAGAAGCCGGTGGCGAAACCGTTTCCTGGAGCAGGGAAGGCGGGTGTGCCAAATGGAGCTGGAGCGGCGTCTGGTTTCAAGGTTTCTTTTATGCATGCATCCGTCATTTTTGATATCATTCACTTTTTGGGTCTTATCTTGGCTTTATTTGCAGCAAAAGAACTACATTTTGCCGTCTGGTACTCCAATTGTTCGGATTAATTTGACAAGACAGGACGGTATGTTTGGTGGTGTTTTTGCTTGCTTTTACATTTTTATCTTGCGAATTTCACTGTTGTTTAGGTCTTCATTAATATGGGATTTATTGCATGCATTTAATTTTGCATCAAAAAATAACTTTAAAAAGTACCTCCCATTACAGGCATTGATGGATATGGCCCGAAAAGTGGTATGCCGCCTGGATCAGTGACGGGTACTGCATCTGCATCAAATGAAACTGTTCATTTTTTCAACACACCTCGACCACGACCACAGTTCGCGTCAGGTGCAGGCACTTGGAGTTCACCAGCAGGCCGTGGGTGGAGCGGTGTACCACCTCCACCGCCTACTCGGTATCCGATGCCTGTTCCGCCACCCCCGCCACCAATGTCACTTGGACTTGGTTTTATGCCCCCTCCTCCGCCACCCCCTCCTGCACCAACGCCAAAAATGGATTTGTCTAGCCTCTTGGCTCCGCCAGCCCCACCACCACCACCACCATCATAACAAACCTTGTCGCGTTTTTTTTTTTTTTTTTGTAATGGTTGGAAAATGTAAAGCTGATGATAAAGCAGGTTTGGCGAAGGAGCTGAATTCTGTTAATAAATTTTCGAAAGACGGGCGAAGCCGAAATTTTTCATTTTGAATTTAGTAGATATCAAGCGCTTGTCAGCATTTTTTGAAACTTTTCGTGTTCAAGGAGATTGATTTCCTGCTGTTTTGAATGATTGTATGTTAATGCGTTGTCATGTCGTATGGGATGTTGTTGCTGTTTTTGGATACAGCAATTTATAACTATGTCAGTGCTTCAGTGCTATTTGTTCTAGATGTCAGGTAGTAATGTGACACTCCATTACATAGCTAGAAGCTGAAATCATG